ATATTGCTACGGTAAATGCCTACGGCCCATATTGAATCTCGACTTTAATGGTGGGTCTCACCCTCTCTCCATCACGATGTATTGTTCAAGTTTTTAAAAGAGGGAAATGTTTCTATGTGACCAACTGCATATAAATTATACGCGACCCTACTTCTTAGCTGATTTGAATCAAACGACTATGAATATCCATAGCACAATGTAACGTCAAACATTATTTCATTTTTTGTTTTTTTCTACAAAACATTTTTTGATGAAACTTTGGGCACACCATCAGAAAATTAGTGCAAACCTAAAAAAAATAAAATAAAATTATTTTATGTAAAAATAGATGATCAAACTGCTCCTCCAATTTTCAAATTTATTTTTAAGTCTTATTTCATAAAGATACTTCCTTGAAATTGTTAAAAAAATTAAAATTCTCAGGGATGGGATATGTAACAATTTAGGACATTTTGATAATGTGGCATGCTTAATTGTGTCGAGCCAAATTACAAAAACAATATTAGTTGTAAAGGTATTATATCAAATTAGTATAAAAATAGTATTAAAACTAAAATCAATAGATACACACAAGAAACGGTCTCTATTTTCACGTATTTTTACAAAATAACAAAAATATATAATGCATTATCCCCAATTTTTTGGAACTCAAAAAACACTAATTTTATGGATTTTTAGTGATTTTTTTAGGCCCAAACTAGCCAATTCACCCGTTAGAATCGCCAAACCATCGATTTGACCTAGTTTTTGGGGTAACCAATTCGTGTCACCAATTTGTTTTTTTAAATGCTGATATTTAGCAAATATATATAATATAACAATTTACATTTCAGTATAAGGAAGTTACATCAATATTTAAATGTGAAATCGGATAGCTAGTGGTGTATCATTGATTGGGTACAAAATCAAAAATATAATTTCATGACTAAAAGTAATTGTGACCTTTGTATTGTAAAGGGTGTTATTCTATATTCTTACAATCGTTTACCATCGTGAGTTCGCATTATTCCATAAAAGAGGTCATGAATAAGGACCTTAGGGTGCATTTGTTTGGAGGCTTTGGAAGCCGTGGCTTCCCCAAAATATATTGCTCAGATGCTGCTTCTAAAATAATGACCCACTTCCGAAAACAAATGTGCGAAGTGTAATAGTGATAGAAACCACAACTTTTTGGTAAACAAACACGGGGTTGTTTATAAAGAGACCATTTTTCTTTTGTACAAGAAGGTCACAATTATTCTCACTCACTCATTAGATGTTAAATTAGATATTTTAAACTAAAAAAAAATTTGTAACGTTATGTCTATTTAATGATACTCTTACTACCACTTATTTTGAAATTTAAAGGACAATAATGGTTATAACCTCCCTATATAAAAGATAAATGGTCTCTTATATAGACAATCCCAACAAACATGGCTTTAATGTTTAGAGAAAAGAACTGTTATAATGCTATTGGGATATTTTTGGGATGTGTACTATGATTCGTTACTTTTTGTACAAGACAGTCAAAATCACCCCTAGACATTGAATGTGAAAATTGGCAGGTAGAAATACGTCAAAGGCTTGGACAAATTCATTTTGAAGATTTTATTAAGGGTGGGGTTTCTATAAGGTTGCAACCTTAAACAATCCAATTAAAGCGCATCTCCAAATTTTATCATGTAATTTTGTTGTAAAAAATTCTTAGGATTATCTTAAAATTTATTTTCATATCTAATTAGAAAATTTTAAACTCCAAAAATAGTTAAAATCAATGAGATCTATAAGTATATGAAAATCTTGAAAATGGACGACCTAGATAATGTGTTACAAGATGCACTATTTTTGAGACTCAAATTTTTATTTTTTATTTTCATACATCTTGATGTCGAGATGATCAAATAAAGGGTTTTCAACATTAAAACAACATTTTTGATAGATTTTTGAGGCGCATCTGTAATTCTCCATTTTAAGGGTGCAACCTTGTATAAACTTTTCCAATGCCACATTTCTAACCACTCGGTTTCATATTTAACAGTTAGTAGTAATTATAACTTTATGACAAAAAGTAATGATGTATTATTTTATTTTATTTTTTTACAAAATTCACCTTTTAGGTCGGAATTGAAAATAGGAGTTGTGCATTGTATTTACCGTGTATGGTGATTAATCATGCTGTATGTTACATGGACAATTTTTTATAGAGAAATTGATCAATTTTGTATGGTTGAGCACGATGTGATCCTCATCTCCACATCCATCCTTTCGTTTGGGGACATGCTAAATTTAATCCCATTCCATTGTATACCAAAGCCAATGCTCATGGTGGACGTGCTCTCCGTAAAGGAGTTCCCTCGCGATCACTTCTTACAGGTAAATTTTTCTTTTTCTTTTTTTATTTTTATTTTTTATTTTTAGGGGAGGGGAGAGAGTTAATTTTTTAAAAGCGCTAGTGATTGTGATTTTTAATTGAGGCTCAAGTGATACTACCGCATTATTTTCACTTTCTCTATTTTTCTCAAAGGAACCAAAGAAGCGTAGAACTAAAGTGAAGTGAACCTTTGAGCACTACTTCTCTTCCACAGCCTCTCTCTATCCTAAATAAGATTCATTGTTATCATCGTCAAAGCTTTTTTCCAACTAATTAAGATTGACTACATGAGTCAAGATCCGATATTCTGCTCTATTAAGAGTCATACCGTCAATAATGTCATAAATCTCTATTTCTGTTATTACTTCCAACCATGTTCTTTTAGACCTACTCGTTGTTTTTTTTAGTCTTCCACTTGAACTAACTTACACCCCTTAATAGGTATTGTATTGGGTCTACACCATACCATCCTGGAACTGTTCAATCCCATCCAAATCGGATCCAGATAGGAAATTACCGGGTTTTATAACATTTATTTGATCTTTCTTGCATGGAGTTCGGAATTAAAAATGATAATACTGATAATACCTATTCCATTATGTTACAAGGTAAAATTGTACACTCACTCTCGGAATCGAAAACCTAGCTACAATTAGTAATGAAACCCACTCAACCTATTGCCACCAACCTAGAGAATAAAAGTCGAATATGCACGTGCATGAAAACACCCGAGTCTCAAGCTTGAACACAAACCTTCCATTTAACTCTTGAATTCATTATCGTTATAGTCTTGAGCTTTTTTTGCTATTTTTGTGGGCCTGCATCGACCCAAATCAATGATTTGTCGAACAAAAAAAGTCCACATTTATTAATGATTTATATGTTGTTTAAATGTAGGTTTTGTCTCAAGAATTCGATATTTTATGCACCCATCCCATGTTCGGCCCAGAGAGCGGGCGGAATGGGTGGAGTGGTCTACCTTTCATGTTTGATAAAGTCCGGATCAGCAAAGACGACCATCGATCAAAGATTTGTGATGATTTCCTTCATATATTCAAATTGGAGGTAAAAATTTTTGGAGAAAAGTGTATATGAAAAATGGCCGTTTCAGCTAATCTCAAATGTTATTTTTCATGATTCACATGAAGCTTAAGGTTTTCGTGTTTTACATGTAGAGTGTTTACATGTGGAGTGCTGAGCTTTTGAGCAGAGGGACTAGATCCAACCCTGTAGAGCAAAAACAAGAAGTCCTGTTTTTGAAGAAAAATGAATAAAAGAAATGGTAGAGCAATAACAACAAGTCCTTGTTTAAGGAGGAAAATATAGAGAAGAAATAAAAAGATGTCCATTCTTATGGAAGCTCTTCACTGACACAATCAAGAAATACATTTGGAAGAACACCCACATGATATTCAAGCACTATGATTAGTTTTACTTCACATTCAGCCTTTTCACTTAGTTTTGAGTTCAAGTCCCAGCTAAAACGCGTTCAAGCACACATATTCAGGGCTCCTAAGTCAGTCTGTTTTTTGTATTTTCATCCAAAACATGTGCAGAAATATCAAAGGTCTGCTAGCAAAAACATGGATGAGGATATGTGGCCACCATATGTAATGTGTACTTGTGTGTTTATAGCTTCCTTTTGTATCTTAAGAGTATAAAATCTAACATGTAAAAGCAGCTCTGAAGTCTAGTTCAGAACATATAGGATGTTGTCCAAATCGAGGCCATTTTTGTTTGTTGGTTTATTAAAGTGTCGTGGGGTTCTAAGAGGGTGATGGTAGCATTTGCAGGGTTGCAGAATGGTGGAAATGTCTTGCGAGGAACATGATCAATTGGCTGCTCAAACACAATTTATTACTCACACTATGGGCAGGTAGTAAACTTATTTATTGAGACTTATGTTGGGAATTCAAAATGAGGGACATTATCTCCATAAGTTTTGATACAACTAAATTGGGCTTCAAATAATCAAGTATTTATTTGGATTTATTATTTGTCAAGTTGGCAACATTATCTTCTTTTTGTTTGCATCAATAGAACGCCTTCTTTTTTATTTTTCAACAGATTTTCAATGGCTTCATTAATTACCCACAAAGGAGTGCACAATAGATTACATTTTCTTGTAGGATTTTGTCAGAATTGGATATTAAGCCTACCCCAGTTGATACAAAAGGCTTTCAATCACTTCTAGCTCTGGTAATTTTTCGCTCCTTGAAAGTAAGCTGTATTTTAATCTCCTTTGTGGCGTTACCTCACTATTCTGGTTCGCTCTAGCAGAGAGATAATACAATGAAGGACAGTTTCGATCTCTATTCTGGCCTGTTCAACCATAATAGGTTTGCAATCCAAGAGGTACTCTCTCTCTCTCTC